CAGTCAAATTAAATTTTTATGAGCGTCTGAAATTCAAATTTTTACAACATTGGATTTTCACTCGATTTCTCATGTAGCGATTTCCTTATTTTGTTGTAATTCAAAAACGAATAACTGTAGATACATGAAAATTTCACTGAATGTTTATATTAGCATTTCATATACACCATACAATTTTGAAAATATTTTGACTCTTTTTGAGCTGTTTATGGACATTTACAGCTTTCAATTTTTTTTAGTTTTTTTTTTTATAATTGTCAATAAAATTTTATTTGGTGGGCCAAAAAGTCTGAAAATTTAATAAAAGCTTTCTTATATATTGTTACAATATCAGTTGAAAAATTTTAAAAATACATAGGCACGATTTTTTTTTATAAGCATTTAAAGTTGGAATTTTGACAAAATTTATCAAAATCTCGAAAATAATCAATCGTTGAAATTAAAAAATTATAAAATGTTCAGTTTTTATAACTAAGAGTTGAAAATTTAAAACAAAGATTCTCTTAAATAATTCATACTGTAACCAAAAAATCTAAAAAATATATAAACACACTTATTTGATACAGACATTTTAATTTCAAATTTAGACAAAATTTCATATTTAAACCAAGAATTACGATTTTAGTTATTTTGTTGTGATTGTATAATATTATTCGTGGGTACTTGAAATTTCTAAAGTAATCTACTATATATATCTATGATAGTATCAGGGTTTGTTGTTGGTGTATAACGCGTTATAAGTACCTAATGGATATTGTGATATGATTAATTTGGAATTCATTATAGGTCAATTTTTTTTAATACCATAGATATGTATATAATATGTCTTATACCTAAAAGGACATACCGTCTCCGCTCAGAATCGTTTTTCTTATACAATGATATTATATCATTGAATTCAAATTTAATACCATCCATTATACAATGACCCACTTGTAACCTACTGTACAGCAGAGCGACACCCACTTGCCCACCTTTTTTATCTTTGTTATTGAAGCTATAGTATAGGTTCAAACTAAAAAAGAAATATATTTGGAGCAAAGTATCCCGCTCTTACGGTACTTATTACTTAGTAGGTACCTACCTAGATATATGAGTTATATTTAAATATGTTTTATGAAAGTAAAAATACACTTATTAAATGTTATTTATTTCATATCGATATGCTAGGGAAATGTAGCCATTGGTCTTGCAGTAGGTAACTTAACATAATACTTTAATGCATTTGATACATGTTATCATTGAGTACTCAATGATATTATATATTACAATGCTTAAACTAAAACTAATTTAATTATTTTAAGACAATCTATGTCACCTTTGATATAATATCGTATCTAAGATCTAACTCACGTAGCCGACGAGTAGACAGTGTTACGTATTATCTAGATAAAAATATTTTTTGTCACGCTGACATCGAATGTTAAGTTTTCAATGACGATTGAAGCGTTGGAAAGCCTCAAAAGTGCTGTGTGCGTATATCACAATCCGACACTGAAATCTATACCACGGTCCTTACAAAATATAAACTTTTGGTTACATCTTATATTCATATTAACCTCCATGCATGAAGCTTAAAATAAATAAAACCAAATCATTTCTTTCATGAAATAATGTTTCGTAGAATAGTCTGGTTATTGCATAGATCCATACAATTACCTTAGCCGTGATCACGGACTAAGATATAATGGACTGGAAACGAGCAGCTTATCAGTGGCCTTGAAAGTATGTACAAGAAGCAAATGCGGGGGTTCGCAACCATAATCGAGAGTTTACAGCGCCATCCGTATAAAACACGGGCCGAGATACAAAATGTGACGCTAAATAAAACCACTGGTAGTGCTGAAAACATTTGATTACGAGTGTTGATGATAACAGAGGAACCTTTTTCGGGCCATCCCCCGTCACCCGCCCACCAAATTATTCATTGTCCTTTAAAATATGCACAGTCTTATCATTGAGCATACTTCTTACTCCTTATACTATAGTAGATTATATGGATAGGCCATAATATTTTGATTTTTCAGTTTCATATATTCCCGAATAATATTTTTAAATTACAACAAAAAACCAAGATCGTTAATATTGATTTTAATATGTAATTTCGTCCAAATTTGAATTTAAAATGTCTGTAAAAAATAACTGTGTTCATATATTTTTTAGATTTTTTGGTTACAGTATGAACTATTTATGAGAGCCTTTGTTTTAAACTTGAAATCTTTAGCTATAAAAACTGAACATTTTATAATTTATTAATTACAATGATTGATAATTTTCGAGATTTTGATAAATTTTGTCAAAATTTGATCTTTAAATGCTTATAAAAAAAAACTGTGCCTATGTATTTTTAATATTTTTCAACTGCTATTGTAACAATATACCAGGAGCCTTGTATTAAATTTTCAGACTTTTTGGCCCACCAAATAAAATTTTATTGACAATTATAAAAAAAAAACTAAAAAAATTGAAAACTGAAAATGTCCGTAAACAGCTCAAAAAGAGTCAAAATCTTTTCAAAATTGTATGGTGTATAGAAAATGCTAATATAAACATTCAGTGAAATTTTCATGTATCTACAGTTATTCGTTTTTGAATTACGACAAAATAAGGAAATCGCTACATGAGAAATCGAGTGAAAATCCAATGTTGTAAAAATTTGAATTTCAGACGCTCATAAAAATTTAATTTGACTGTCCGGTAGAGATTTTTTTATTGATAAAGGTAGATAATCTTATAAGGAATCTTGTGTTTCATTTTCAAATCTTAGATTTAAAAAGAAAAATTTTTACGAATTCTTAACTCAAAATAATTTGCTAATTTTCGTGATTTTTCCATATTTTGTCAATTTTTGAACTTTAAATGCTTATAAAAAAAAATTGTGACTAAGGATTTTTAATATTTTTCATCTGCCTTTGAAACAATATATTAGGAGCCTTCTATTTAATTTTCAAGCTTTCGCAACCAACAAATAAAATTTTATTGATATTTTTAGAAAAAAAACTAAAAAAAAATGGAAAATGAAAATGTCCCTAAACAGTTCAAAATAAATCAAAATATTTTGAAAATGTTATCGTGTATAGAAAATGCAAATATAAACAACCAGTGAAAATTTCATGTATATACGTTCATTTGTTTTAGAGTTACATCAAAAACCAAAATCGATTTTTTGGAAAACCAATTTTGCGTAAAAATTCCCGTTTTTCCTTAATTTTTATGTTGTTTTTCCCGGCGCTTGTGAAAACTACTGGGAAATTTATACTTTTGACCCCCCCAAAGTACCAACTAGATTCACTTTCCTATCAGAAAAGCTACTGATGAAGAAAATCCAAGCACTTTTACTGTTTTAAAACGTGATGACAGACACAAAAAAAAAATTAAAAAAAAAAAAAAACACACATCATTGTAAAATCAATACATTCATCGTTTCACTCAGAATCCAAAATTGAAAATTGAAAAAATCCGTTAACAGCTCAAAACGAGGGCCTATGCCACCCCCTAGTTGGGCCTATGGGCCGGGGAGAAGTCTTTTCAAATACTAGTTTTGAAAAATCTATATTATAAATGTATTTGTTAAACGATTTCTAAATTGAGAATTGACAAAGATTTATTTACTTGAACGTACCAAATGAAAAGTGTATCATTATATTTTTTTAGCGATTGCAACAAAAACCAAATAGGTAGGTATTTTTTTATAAAATGCCCTGACATTGACAGATGAGTGTTATAAAAATTCGCTGAAAAGTCGGCATTTACTGTGTGGACTGTGTGGTAGTTGATAGTTATCCCCATTCAACATTAGTCATGAATCATAACTGACATAAATATTAATTATAATATATTAGGTATTGTTTGTTCTTCAGACAAATATATTAATACATTTCAACCACAATAGATAAGTTTTTAAGAAGTATTATATAAAAATCAGTAGCGGGCAGGTTTTTTAGGCAATTAAGTAGGTACCTATTGGCTATTACCTATATAAAGTCTAAAATACCTATAGGCATGATACATTTAATGAATATAAAAGATATAATATAATTAAAAACGATTCTGAGCAGAGAAGGTTGTGAGACTAGATATTTTAGATTGTAATTATATTTTATTATAGACTGTAAGTTGAATTAATATTGTAAATTACAACAGAAGTGGGTAAGTGGATGTCACTCTGCTGTGCAGTAGGTTACAAGTGGGTCAATGTATAAAGGATTGTATTAAACTTGAATTCAATGATATAATATCAATATATCATTGTATAAGAAAAATGATTCTGAGCTGAAACGATTTGTTATTATTGATTGTTATTATTGATTACCTATATCTTGTAAGTTGAATCTATAATATTCTATATTATAATAGCCAATAGGTATTATTATTTTTTATTCGTTTCTATGGTGATAAACGAAGCGTTAGAAATTCAAATCCCATTTTTAGCGGTTTTTCGTAATTTGTCGGTGGTTTTTCCTGTGGCATTAAATAACTATTGAGAAAATCGAAAAATGACCTCTCTAAAGTACCATCTTGATCCAATTTGCTATAAGATAAGGTACCTACCATATGTTGAAATCGAAGTATTCCTGCTGGTAGATATTTTGTATACAGGATAAAAAAAAAAAAATAATAAACACCATTGTAAAACCACTAGATTCATCGCTCCGCTCAGAATCTAAAATAAGAATTTAATTTTGTGGCTGTATAAATATTATTTATATGGCATAGAAATCTACATTAGGTATGCGTAAGTACTAAGTTGCTGGTTTTTACAAATTATTGAGCACACTACTTTATCTACAATAGGCACTGATATATTCCTCAAGAGGAACTGAGGGATATTTTGTTTTATGGTGACATTGCATACCTATACCTAAATCGACTTAGAGCCAATTTCACCAACACAGGAATAAATAAAATACAATTGAAAAATTATAAAAATGTATTTTTAAAGCAAAAATTTGTTTATGTTAACAATAAATAAATAGTAAAATAATAGCTAATGATGTCATTTATTCGTCATCTGCCATTTCCAGACTATGATATTTTGAAGTTTTTTCAAGCCAATTTTCCACTCCCGTATTACCCATTTCATTGGCCAAGTTCATTCGATTGAATTTTCCGTTGGTCGTCTGGCATTTATCCATAATCAATGTATCGCACTTGGTGATTTTCACTAATAAAAATAAATAAAACCAAGCCTAACAATTTCTATTTGTATTAATCAAAATACCTTAGTAGGTATATCAGTTAAAGTAATTTATTTATATTATAAATAAGTAGGTAAGCTAATAAATATTTGAAAATAAGTTTTTTTATATAAATATTAAATAGACAGGGTGTTGCACGATAAATATGTCAAACTTCTAGAGGTGTTTCTACACCTCAAATGGAACAAAAAATGTCCTTATGACCCCTGCCTTCAAAAATAATTGTTGTTTGATAAAACTGATTATTTTTAAAATTTCGACATTTTAAATTTATAAAAAAATTGTGTTATACTTTTTACCCAAAAAAATAGGTAGGAACCTTGTAAGATATTTTTTCCTAATCCCAATTTTATGAACTTTTCATCAACGTATTCAAATTTATTGTAGTACCTACGGTTTAGCAGATATGAACATTATTATGAATCAAACTTGCGTATTTAACCAAAAAAACACAAACATGGAAATTATCACCCTTATTATTGATAAATCGATTATGGTCATAAGGACATTTTTTGTTCCATTTAAGGTGTAGAAACCCTTCTAGAAGTTTGACACATTTATCGTGCAACATCCTGTATTTAAACAACAACTAGTTATTTTTTATTATTTACTTACTGATTTGTGATTTATCGACTATTGTATTAAAAATAATATGATTTACTACACTAGGTATATCATTTATCATTACTTTTACAAAACCATTATTTTTAGGTAAGTATTTAAAAAAAATTGTATTCTTTATTTTTCCTTCGTTAAATTGAACATCATTAAAGTCCTGTAATTTTTTTCTTTTAATATAAAAATAATTTAAAACATTAATGAAAATGAAAAAATGTAGGTATCATGTAATTATTATACAACACATGATTACCTTCAAATGTTAATGTTAATGTATTTATTGGTAATTATTAGGACAGAAGACTTGTAGTTATAAAAAGTCACCAAATATTAATTTTACACATTTGAATACCCAAAATTTGCATTTTAAAAATAAAGTTGAACCTTCTAGTGCTTTTAGAAAAAATATACACCCGCGGACATTAAAAACTAGGTATACTATTTATACCTACCCAAGACAAAAAATTAAAAATAAATTTACATGTTTTGGTTGTACCTATATTAATTAAAATAAAAACATAACAGAAAAAATTAATAAAATTGTTAGTTGAGTTAAACTATGTATCTAAAAGTATAAAAATAAAGAAATATGCCCTAAAAACAAAAAAACTTAAAATATGCATTTATATGCAAAATATAATTTCAAAACTAGCTTTGTGAAAGGATGAAACTTATTTGTTTCGCACTCTGCTATTTTTGTGACTGTGTAAAATAAATATGCAAATGCTACAAGTCCTCTGTCCTAGTAATTATAAATTAAGTCTAATAAATAGGTAGGTATCTAACTAATTATTGTAACAAATAAAGTTTTTTAATATTTCCAACTTAACATGTGACATAATATGATGTTCTCTTAAGTATACCAAATAAAATATAAATACTTTTATATTATTTAATTTTTTTATTTATAGATATTCTGAATAGCAGAATGGCAGTGAGGCGATCACCGAATAGATTCTAATATCCTACTCTGTTAATTGAAACATACCTAATTTTAAATCATAAATGTAAGTATAGATCATGACATCATGTGTAATATAAATATTAACCTCATTGGGTCCGTCCAAAATAATGTATAAAGATACTATAATCTATAAAATAAACTACTCATCATAAACCAGACCTTGTCGCCATCCTGAACAATCAGAGCGGTACTTTACTGCACTTAGAGAATTCAAAACACAATATTATATAAAAACATATACATTGAAAAAATTAAAAACAGTTAGTTAAGAGCAAAATACATTTATACATGCAAAATACAACGTAACAATAAAGTATACAATTTATTAAAATTGCAAAATACATACTCAATAAACACACCACATTCACTTGCAGGAATCAATATAGGTAAAACTAAAACAATTTATATTATCATCTACATCCACAGGCTAGGAATTTTTATAAAAATAATACTGATCAACTAATATAATCTTGTTTTACTTTTAGGTAGGAGGTAGGTATCTCACACTAGAAAGCATCCAGCCAAGCTGCTATAACGTCAGCTGTAGTAGGGACCTAATATGAGTTATTTTTTTATTATAAAATGTGCTTAAATATATAATACATATGTTTATAACTTAACATGTATTCTTTTAGAAAAATAAAAAATGTTTACAATTAATTACAATGTTTTTATTAAAATAATTTTCAGTTTATATTCATGTTTCATACCCATTTACTGAATAAATTTCATTAACATAACATAGAATAATCATATATTTTTAAAAATATGTCAATTTTTTATTTACGCCTACTGGCTAATCAAAATATTATCTAAACATTCTAAACTCATAGGTGAAAATAAGGGGGGCTGGTGGGGAAACTCGGCTTAACCTAACCTTATGGCAGCAACCGATCAAACATTCCACATGAGTAGGTGTCTGGTGTATTTATAAATATGATATATATTATATACCTAACTACATGGCTATTTTACTAATTTTTTAACCTGTACCTCTACATTTAATATTTGTAATATAATATGTCTACTGGTTAGAATTATTATTTTAGTAACAGATAATCTATGATTAAGTTTACAGTAATAAGTTAGATATAACCAATACACAATGGTACTCAAATTAATTATCATATGTGTAATTAATATTCAGCCATCAAATAAATTTACATTTATCACATACCTATTCAACAAAAACATAACAAATAGTTAACATAATTATATTACATACAACAAATATTATTAAATTATATTTGTATAGACTATTTTAATATCACAACTATTTGTTTATAACTTAAGAATTACTTATGAGTTGTAGGTCAATATAGGTCAATATAGGTAGGTACCTTGTTGTACCTACCAGCTACTTTTATCATTTTACTTCTGAAATTTAAACTAAACATATATTTCATGATTAATTTGTTTAGATTTCTAGTATCTACATAATAAAAGCCTAATAAAGTATAAAAAACAAATTTTAAAAACTCAAGAATTTCAAATTCTAAAATTTTAGTAAATTGGTACTATATTAACTTGAAGATAGTTAAAACTAACAGTGCGGCATAACTGAAATATTAAAGAATACAGAATACAAATTTTGGAATAAATGTTTTTCACTGTCCTGACAAATTGTTTTTTTTTTTTTTTTTTTATTGATCTTGAATACATCGACATCTAGGTCATTAGTTGACAGTGACAAATTGTTTATACTACAGCTAAGTGTCTTTTGTCACTATAGTAGGCAATTATAGAATCAATGTATTTATTATTTTTTATTCAAATATGGTAGGTATTAATAATTAACTTTTCTCTTTTAGATAACAGTCATAAATGCTCTATAACTAGACAATCGCAAGGTATAGGTAGGTAAATAAATTTAACTGAATGCAAAAACACAATTAAAAGTTTATGAAATACATTTACCAGCTGGTATAGGTGATATAGGACAATGTGATGAGATCACCGCTAGTTTTTTTAATGTTTTCACTATTGGTGGCTTACATTCTTTTGATGCTATGGCTGGAGTAATACTTGGTAACCTGATATCTAAATGTGATCCTTTATCTGTCATAATCTAAACACAAAAAAATTACATTAATTTGGCAGTTTTAGATGAAAGCATTAATTATTTTACTTTATTATTCATAGAGTAAAGTTTAATGGTTATGTCTTTTGCAACTAAAGTAGCTAATACAGTAGCTAAGTATGTTTCTTTCACAAACAAATATTCTAATGCTGATCTTTGCCAAAATATATATCGACAAGTTGTTGCAGCAATTACTGAAACCTAAAAAAAGTGAATATTAGTAATGAATCATATTTTTTTTTAAAACAGATAACATCCACCTTAAATTTGTCTTCGGAAGACCCTCTACTTTCAAATTCAGGAGAATCCAAAAACTCACACGGTCCTATGGGATGTAAAAGTTGATGATCTTGTAGAACATTTGCTTTTCCAGACATAAGCAGTCCAAGTCTATCAGTTTTTGTGATATTTTGCATAGCATAAGCCTCACCTATGTGTAAGGTAACAATCTGAGCAAATTGTTCACTCACCAATTTCTTAAATTGAATTCTAGTAATCTATATAATTAGTAAAATCAATAATCAATAATAATGTGTACTTATAATATACTAATATGAGTACATGATATTGTTAATTGTTATACTCTATTCCATTTAAGAATAAAATGAGTAGTGGACAAGTAGTGGTCTCGGTCATAGGCGTGCGCAGACCTCTGAGTCAGGTATGGCTAAATTCGATCTGATCACCCACCCCTTGTAATGGTCACACAAAAAAAAAATTATAGATATTTTCAGTACAAACTTTTATGTGACCCTTTTTGTTGGTTACTGGAAAATGAAACAATCAGTTTTCATTATTTCACACATATAAAATTCATCAATATTGATTTAAATTTTAACCAAATATAATCTTATAAAACAATTTATTGAAAAACGTTAAAAATATAATAAATAATATTAAAAATTTTCAATTAACATTAATAGGCATTTATTTATTATGATAAATTATTCATGGTAAATCGACTTTTGGGCTATTAGTTTATAAGATATAAATATTAAAATTTAGATGAGAGGAGTAGTGGACATACATTTTGCGTGGTAACCCAGTACCACTCAACTCCGCTCATCTAAACTTTAAATACTTATAACCCATAGACTACTCGCACTAATTTCGATTTTTATATATCGAAATACTTAAAAAAATATTCTACTTTGGAATATGAAATTAAAACTCTATGCTGTCAAAAAAAAAAAAAAATTAGAAGGATAATTTTTTAATAACAAAGTTGTTTTGTAAATGACCCGAAACTATGTAAAAAAATATTTTCAAAAACAATTACACTTTTTGAAATAATAAGTGTTCAATTTTAAATAAATCGCCCGGTATAGTCTCTCGGGTAAACACAAACGTTTAAAAACTAAATGGGCTATACCTACTTTTAGTCATGTCTTCATGAGGTACCAACCCACAGACGTATAAAAAAATCTCAGGTAGGGCTAAAGCCCAATCAGCCCTACCCGTGAGCACGCCTACGGTCTCGGTTCATACACGTATTATGATGACCATCAGTAGAGCTGCCTAAAAACTGAGTTAAGATTTTGTTCTTCGGTAATTTTTCATATGAGAGGTGGCTTATTCTTAAATAGAATATAGCATAGTTATTGACAATAATTTACCTTGAAAGGCTTAAACATGTTACGATAAATTTGTTCAAGTTCTGGATTAAAATTAATCGGTCTTCTTTGATAAATAAGATAAATTAGTTGTAGAATATTAATAAAAAGAAAACATAAATTCCAAGTAAATAAATCAGGTGCACACACTATTCTCCATGCCCAAGTAATGAGTATAAGAAAACCTAAAATCAAAATTAAGAACCTATTGATCAAATACTTATCTATTTTTTATATGTTGACAGGTTAAATAGGTAGGTATTATACTCTATTCAAAATAAGAATGTTAATTGGCAGCCAACTTATGCGCTGGGGCGTGGCTTTGTTCCAAAGCACTGGCTCTGTGGGGAAAGTGTCCGACCGTCTCTGTCGACAATTGTTCTTATTTTGAATAGAGTATAGGTACCAAGAAAATATTAATTTGGTTAAGGCAATCATTTTTAAATAAATAGCAAACAAGAAAATAATATTAATTTATGATTTTTTTTTTTTTTAAACTGTACCTGCAATTAATGTTGAGTGCATAAATAATATGCCACAATAACTAGTTGGCACAGAGTATGATACAAAAAACAGAACATTAGCTATCTGAAACATCCAATGTTGTGACGGACGCCAATCAATACACCAAACTACATAGAAAAAGATTGAAAACATTTGTTACATTACACCTATATATTTTTATTCAATGAATGGATACATGGATCATTCAAAGAGCTCATACTAATGTAGAATTTAAGAAAGCATTGTATACATTGTTTAACCTACCTGTATGTTCAGTAAATGACGTACTGTTAGTGCTATTTTCTTTAAAAACTGATGGTATACTAATTATTTCACTAAGCCCAAAACCAAAAGAAGTCATAATGAAAAAACGTATTAAATTAATTTAAAAAAATTATAGTCATTAGTTGTAACTTAAGGTAATTGTTGTAGTATGTTTATAAAAAACATTTATCGTTTTAGCTGTATCAGAATTAGTTTTAAGTGGAAGTGAAAGTAGCAGTATAGTGCATAGCCTGTGCCAGTAATGCCTAGTAGTCATAAAGAGAACTCAACAGATTACAGGTATTGATTTTTTTCTCTTATCACGCAGGGTTGCAAGAAGGGTTGCAAAATGATACAATGTTTTTATTATAATATAGCTTTTATTTCATTATAAGTGAATTTTTGCATAATAGTAATTACTAATTAGTAACTATGACTTATCAATGAACATTTTTTATTAAAGGAACAAGAACGTTTACACATTTCCTATGTATATGTGAATATCTATTTTAAATAAATAGATGCAAATATTATGATTAATGTATTTCGATAGATAGTTGGATGAATACCTGTATTATTTACTAAAATACATTTTAAAAGATGCAGAAAAATACTATTCACAATCTTAGACAGTAATCACTATTAAAATATGTATTTTAAATCACATTTTTTTTTATTAAAAATCATACAATAATTGTTATAGAAATCTAATTTGTGTTCATTTGGCCACAGACAATATACAAATATATTTATACATAAATATAAAAAAAAATTGTTTATCTAAATTGTTCCCAGTATTAAACATAGGTAAGTAGTTAATTTTAAGACATCTAATTTTTATCTTCAAAAAAACTTAAAATTAAAAAAAAAACATTCATAATGTAAAAAAATAATTATGATTAATAATTTTAAAGTTAAAAAGTAGAGAAAATCAAATACATTTATGTAATAGTTTATAATATAGAGCTACTTACTAACAGTATTTCATATGAGCAATTATTAAATGTAGAAGAGTAAAAGGAAAATGTATTTTAACATAATTTAATTAAGAATAATTCATAATAAATTAATCAGTTTACTTCAAAATAGGTTAAAATTGTAAAGTTGACATATATTTATTATGTCCATACAATTTATAAAAAAAAAAAAAAGTATATCACTAAATAAATCACAAAGTACATTCCAAATATAACATTAACTTGTAGTACTTACAACACTAAAACTATGTCACAGATGGACTATCAGTACCACTACCACTATCGTGTTCTTTACGGAGATGTACACCACGTTTACCGCCACTTTTGGATAAAGTAGCAACCTCTTTCTGCAAACACTTGATTTTACTATGCAACATTTCTACTTCTCTACTATACTCCTTTTTATCCGAATTCATTTTATTTCGCAATTCATTTTCTGTAGTAAAATGTTTGGCTTTCAATTCGGTTATCTAATAAACAAATTTTAAATTACTAGTATACGGATATTAAACAAATGTTTATTTATTTTGTAAAAAATATTAATATCTCTTACAAATTTATCTTTGTTTAGAAGTTGAAAATTCTTTTGATGAGATTGTTTTTGTAACAATGCTATTTGTTCTTTGAGATCAGTAATAACCACTACATTATCTGAATTTACGTCAACATGCCTATGAGAATTTCGATGCATTTTTGAAGGTGGAGGCAAAGCAAAATCTGGACCACTATCATCAATTAATTTCATTACATTTGTATGTTTAGTTTTCCTATTTTTTGATCTGAAAATTAATTTTTAATAATTTGTATAAAACTTGACATTTTCTAATATCACATGGTTAACTATAATACTAATCACAATATTTAACTATAATACTAATAACTAACCCATCACGTTTTTTAACTAATAGTTTCATTTCAGCATCAGTTTTTTTTGTTTTTGCTAAAGCCCGTTTAAATGATAAAGTGCATAACCAGCATAATACTTTTCCATCAAGCAACTGAAATAAAATAAAACATAATTAAGAAAAATTATTTTTTAAATGTTGATAGATACTATTTAAATGCTTACTTCACAATCCATATCTTTTCTATTAAATGCGCAATTTTGTTTGCATTGATCACAAGTTACAGGTGGCCCATATTTGCGTTCAGAATTTGCACAACGCTGACATTTTTGGCCAATGAAAGCAGCTATTATATTGCAGTAACTACATGCTGTTGGTCTACCATATTGAGCCACAAATTGTTCACACTTTTTACAAATTGTACTCGTGTTTGATTTACTAAAATTTTTAAAAGTTAATTATACATTTTTGAAACAAACACATATAAGTACTTAGTTTAATAATCTTTCATTACAAAGCTAACATAAAACCAAGTGGTTTGTTAATTCATTTTTAATATGGTCCATGAGATTAATTGGTTTTTTAATAGTAAGATTATTTTGTATCACTACTTACTCAGTCTGTTGGAATTCGGACCGACAGTAAGTACACTTAACTACAGGATATGATCCTCGACATTCCTAAAACACACAATAATTGCATATTATGCAAAAGTTTGTTTATCAGATAATAGCGATTAAGTGAAACGAAAAATTGCAATAAATCTACGTACTTTACAGAGTTGTTGCCCAGACGACAAATCTTCGTAAAAATACCGTTTGAAACACTTTGAGCAAGCAAATAATGCCGATTTATCATTATTACTCATGTCGAAGCTTAACTATTCGTAAAACGTAAGCTAAATAGTAATAACAACGAATAAAAAATGTTGTTTGCGTATCAAAAAATAAAAATTGAAACACAAATACACAAATACACAATACCCTTATATTATTTGTGTACGTAGATAAAATAAACAAAAATTGCCAAACTTACGGTTTGCAATGCGTTTAAGAAATAAGAACAGTCAATTCAACTACAGGCGACGGCGACCAGGTTTCCTTAAAAAAATAATTAGCTTTGGACCGTGATACTGATACAACTCGCCAACCAATCAAAACGATAAAATCGGTGCAGCCAACGGAGTCACATAATGATATCACTGAATAGATGAAATATATTTTATATATATTCTGTGATGATATCATATCCATAAACTTAGTTTATACTTTATAGGTCTATGATCGTGTCACACATTTTGACATTTTGAGTCATTTTCTTCGTCGTTGTTTTTCGTTTATCCACCGAATTACTATCTGACACGATTTAAGTTAAATATTACCATAGAACAATACTCCTTGATATTACCTTAAAATCCTGCCAACGGCTATCAAGATACAACTTCTAACTATCAAGATTCGAGATAACTATACAAAATATAACATATTATCATAATGAATATGTGTCATCCAGTTCCTGTGTACTGTCTAGTACTCTAGTGTGTATTCTTTGGTGATTAATGGTTACTCATTACTCGTCAGTGGTTTACAGTAATTAATAATTATCAACAACTAAGATCATTACACGCATAGCCAAGAGATATATTTTTCAAATTTTTATTGCTTACACACAATGTCATTCCACTTCGTTTAGGTTTTTTGAAATTCGATACGAAAAATTTAAATCGTTTAGATAGGATGGCACAAATTCCCGAATGTCCGGAAAGTCTAAAGAAGATTCAACATCATCTAAAAATCGCTTTAGAACATGATTCTAAAGATCCAGTTATCAGTTATTGGTGTGAGTTATTTGAAATTGAGAAATTTAAAGATGCATGATAATATTTTTTTTTGTTTTAGGTCGGCTATATGCCCTGCAAGCTGCATTGACCTTAGACAAATCATCGAAAGACGCGAAAATGTTTTTAGTGTCTCTAATGGACTGGTTGGAGAAACAAAAAAATAATTTAAAAGATAATGACATGATCACAAATGAGACTGCTGCACAAGCGCACATAGAAAATTATGCAATAAAATTGTTTAATTTTGCAGATGGAATGGACCGTCAGGCAAATTATAATAAGTAGGTGTACCTAACTAATTAATAACATTTTTTTTTTTTTAATTTAGTGTATGGTTTTGTTTTTATTAGAAATATAGTTAAATTGTTTTTCACTGCTGGACTACTCATGGATGTTTTAAGTGTATTTGGGGATGTTTCCGAAGAGATCACAAATACTCAAAAATATGCAAAATGGAAGGCTACATACATACATAATTGCATGAAAAATGGCGAGACTCCTACACCTGGACCACCAAATACAGAAAGTGGACAAATTGGTTTCAACTTTCCAAATCAAGGAGAAGACATTCAACAACCTACAGATAATTTTGTTCCTCTAACTCCTACTAAACATACATATGAAGGTTAATATATTTATTCTAATACTGAGCAGTAAAAAAATTAAAATATAGTTAAATTTCTTGCATATCTTATTAGGTACTATATAATACAATGCTTAATTTCAGATTATCCTGCATCAAATCCTAATGAGTATCAACAAATACCCAACATGTCTACAATCAGTCCAACAGAAATACAGCCAACTGTATCAGGAAGACCAATCGTACTCAGAGGTATAGATTTCCTAAATTATTTTTATATAAATTCTTAGTTTAAAAAAAAAATGATTACAATGTAGGCAGCTAACCTAACAAAATTGATTGGTAGATAATATTTTATTTCCAAAACAGTCTAATAACAATGGTACATTTTGAATTATGTGAGGTTGATTTATTATTACAAGAAAATAAAAGTTATTTCACATTTTAGATGGAATACAACTGACGCCGTCACAAATCACTAAAGCACAGAAATATTGCAAGTTTGCTGCTAGTGCATTAACCTACGATGATGTTTCTGAGTCCATTGCAAATTTACAAAAAGCACTGAAATTACTAACAACTGGTGAAGATTCATAGTTATTAATTACTAATTATTATAATAGTATTCATAATATGTATACATTGTTTTAAGTTATTATCTTTATTTTTAATATACATGATGTTTAAATTGATCAAAAAAAAAAAACAAAAAAACTACGTAAAAATTAATTTACACCCTACACACAAATTATTTACATAGGTACTAACATAAATGACTAGAATGAATGAACACAAAAATTTGTTATCTTATTTTGGAGGGATGGAACAGGGGTTGTGTTTCCCAAGCTTTAGTTAAAACAAATCCTTACAATAATTCATGTGCAAAAGTTTTAATAAAAATGAGCTAAGTTTGGGAAAAGTTATTTTCTTTCTATTCTTGTTTTTGAGCTTTAGGTTCAGCAATTTCTGCCAGTTCTTTGCGCCTCAGTTGATAATCAATAACCAATCGTCCAGCTAACATGAATAAAAACACAAGTGCCGGAGCCATTCGTTCAAATTTATCTTTTGCTGCATAGTGTGTATAAACAGCCAATAAATGTGACATCAAAAGAGTTATATTTGCCCCTTGTTTAACGTTTCCTTAAATTAGAAAAAATGTACCATAACAATTAGAATATTCATATAAACGTGTAAGTGGGTTAAAAAATATGAGTTAATTATGTTGTCAAATACTTACTGTAAGGAACAAATGCCAAGCAAACACCACTTAATACTTCAGTACCACCAACAGCTCTTCTGTACCATTTAGCTGGCACTTTAAAGTCGATCATTTTGGAGAGTGGAAATACTTTGGCATACTTAACATAGTCCTTTCGCTGAAAAAAGTACACATTTAGATTTATTATAATAATCATTGAGTACAGTCAATATATTTTGGTCATATCAGATAAATATGCAATCTACTTAGTATGTACATTCAAATCAATTAATTAAATATTTTATTATACAGTATGTCCCAGAAGTCCCGTATCACCCTTAGTATCTCCGTGGAAAATCAATATATTTCAATGCAGTTATTTTACAGCAATAAGTATGGAAATTCTGATTGAATAGCATAATATTCAAATTTTTTCAAAAATTAAAAAATTATCAAAAAAATTTTTTAGGCAAATAAGTTTTTTAATTTCCAAGATAGCCATTTTGTTGATCTTATTTTTTAAAACCGTTTAAAAATAAAAAATAGTAAAATGTAATGAAAATTGCCCAAGTTGGAGCTAATTATTATTATGAATTTCTAAGAATAATAACTTTATTACCTATGCATATGGCATTAGCAAAATATGATACGCTGCTTAGATCAGAAATTGGAATGCTGATATTTTTATGACAATCTTATCTAATTATTAGTGAAAGCTTTCAGTTATAAAGTTGAAAACTGATATTTTGTATGTCAAAATTCATAATAATCCCAAAACAAATAATTTTTTTTTCATTTTAATAATAAAATACAAGGCTTTGCACCTGAACGTGACTCAAAGCCCAAATAAATAGCATAACCCAAAACCCGTTTATACAAAACCGATTTAAAAAAAATTAACACCCGATACCCGAATTTCTATTTGGGTTTACCGGAAACCTAAATTATTGAAAATTAAGTGGCATATTAATTTGTATGTATTTTTTTGCAACTAACGCGACTAAGAAGATAGTAGTGTAAGCGTGTAACTCAATTTTTTTTTTGTAACTAACAAAATAATTAATTAAAAATTAAAAAAATACCTTGATACTAGATGGTTGTTTTATTTTATTTCACAAAATTCAATGATAGACAATAGAAATTGTGTTGTCTAACATTCTTAATCAAAAATAAATATCATGAAAATATGTTTAGCTAAAAATTAAAATATGTAATAAGCGAGAACTTTCTTCTGTAGAAAAAGGACTGAGTAAGTACTAAGTAATAAGTAATAAACTAATAAATAATAAGTATTAATATTTAATTTAATTTTTAAATTTTTTTCATTATCTTTACTTTAAATATAAGAAAAGATAACTATATCAAATTTGCATTGAAAATCCCATGTCAATTGATATACAACAAATTGTGTTTTTTTTAACACCTGAATTAATCATAATTAACCCGAATAAACTTGCATTCAACAGTAATCAGAAAAGTGTATTAACTCGTAACACCCGAATTTTCTTTCACACCCGAAGCCCCAAAAAAAAGATTCCGGTGCAAAACCCTGATAAAATATCTATTTAAACCTGACAAAACTAATACATATCTAAGAAAAGTTTTGACTTTAATAGAAATAATAAAATAACGATAGCCTGTGTCTTATCGTTTACTGAAAAGTGAAACTGGTTACCTATTTTTAAGTATTTTAATTATCATGAAGTAAACCTAAAATTACGAATGGTCTTTAATTTTATCTTACAGTTATTAATGTAATTTTTAATAATAAGTTTAACGCATATGTCAGTTTTGTAAATTATAATTAAAATTATTCACTCGTGTTGTTTCTGTATAGCTTAATTATAAATTATATTTAAACTATGCACTTGTTTTCTTTCTTTATATTTTTTTTTTACAGTAAGCAGTCTGATTGAATGGCAAAACTATTATTCTTAGAAAATCAAAATAATAATTAGCTCTAACTTGAGCGATTTTCATTAAATTTAAAATATTTTTTTTTTAAACTGTTTTAAAAAATATAATCAATAAAATGGCTATCTTGGAAAGTTGGAAATTTAAAAAACTTATTTGTCTAAACATTTTTTTTAATAATTTTTGAATTTTTAAAAAAAAATTCTATTATTATGTAAGTTATTCATCAGAATTTTCATACTTATAACTGTAAAAAAAACCGCATTTAAATATATTGATTTTCCATCGAGTTACTAAGGGTAATAAGGGAATTCTGGGACATACTGTAAATAAAAATTAATATTATAAAATTAATGTTAAATAAAAAACTAGATAAACATAATTTGGAAAAAAAAATATTTATTTTACAAATATCATTCAATAACTTATGTTGCACCGATATTTGTTGTATCCGTTTTACAAGTGCGTAACATAGAAAATTTTGTGTTCCGCATATCTCGTTTAACTCTGTAAGTTTAAAAATTAGAGTGATTTTACCTCTTATAAAATTTAAAGGTAAGATTGTTATCTAGGGCATCTCATAGGCTTTTTGTTATATTTTAATTTTAAAGTGATATCTGAGTATTTTTAAATTTAAAATTATTTGAAAATCTTTAAATACTCAAAACTCGTTTTAAAATTGATATAATATAACAAAAAGCCTATGAGATGCCTTGATAATGTTTATATTTATTATGGGTAAATTACCTTTAATTTTTTTATTTTTAAACTAACAGAGTTTAACGTGATCTGCTGAGCCTAAAATTGAATGCAGTTGTAAGAGAGAGACAACAAATGTCTTAATGTATAATATGTGTTGAAAGAAAAGCAATAAACCAACAAATCAATTTTTATTTTTAAATATTTTTGGATTATAAGCGGGTACCTCCCTCCTACTTCTGAATAATCAATATAAAAATTTTTAATAGTCAGATTATAGTGATAATTAAGTCGTACGAATATATTTTAAAACCTCTTAATTTCTGAATAAACTATTGATAAATACTTACACATTTTTAGAATCTTAAAACAAATTTACGCTAGTGCCAAATATTTTAAATTCATACGCGGGCATTTTGCCAATCAGCCCATTTTACCACAAATAGATTCATCAAAAACACTACACAATATTCATGTTTATAATAATAAGCTTCCATTTATGTTATCTAAATCATTTTGATTCAATGAGCTAATTAGTATAAAAATTAATTTTTCTAACCACACGCTAGGTTCAATAAATCAATATTAATTATTATCTAAAAGTTATAAAATGTAGGTATATGTAATACTAATTTATAAATAAGCCATAATCTAAAAAAAATTAAATAAAAATAAAAACAGGGAGGCCTAACTAATATTTTTTTGTAATTCGTCTAAGTAATAATTTTTTTAATTATTTATATAAAAAAAATGGTACCCAGTAATATAAACTTTTGGCATAAGTTGAAAATAGATTGAATGTTGAAATATGATTATTTAAATAATTTAAATGGTTTACAGGTTAAAGTAAAAATAAATTTTAATTTATAATTCACTGTATTTTGAAAATGATGTTATACCTACTAATTTCAGTTGAAGTTAAAATATTTGTATAAAAATTTAAAGTAAAATTAATTACAACTACTACAAGAAATTAAAATAAATATTAAATACACAGGTAAATATTTTTTACACATTAAAATTCTACTTTTGCATATTCTATAGATAAAAGTAATTTTTTTTTTAAAATGCATTCTAACATAAAAAAAATCATAATTGATTTTAATAGAATAATATACAAGTTTAGCTTTTAAGAAACTATAACTGTATTAATTTTGTAAATATGCAAAAATTATCGAATTGAAATGGGTAGTAAATTAATGTTAATACCAATAGATTTAAATTTGAAAATTGATAAACACATTGACTTATCATGTCATAGATAATATTATACCTAATAATAGTAATAACTATTTATTGACATAAATTATTTCTTACGAGATCCTTGTGCAGCTCTTTACTGATGACAGGACTCATTTTCAGAGTACCTACAAATAGGAAAAAAATACCAAGTAGAACCGAAAGACTCTTTAGAACTATTGATCCCATATCTGAATTTATGATTATCTATTTTAAAATAAATACACTGCAGCTACCAAAACGAATTTAAATTTTATGGGAAAAAAATTTAGTTTGTCCAAACGATCCACAATCCGCAGGGACTCCTCCTACGCTTTAGTGCTTTACAGTTTACCGCAAAAAGAAATATGTTTCACAGTGTGTCCTAATCAAAGATCAATTTTTGAATAACCAAAATAGTGGAGTTTGAATTTCACAGAAAAACTATTATAATAAGCGATTTATAGAAAAATGAAACGCCTTATGAAGAGTAAAATCTAAAGTGAGCCTTTATTATTGAAAATAATGTTTTTTATATTAACCACTAAAAATAATTTTGAATAATATATTACAATTAATATAATTTTGGACATAAAAATGTTTTTATGTACATGCCAGTCTTTTAGGTTGGGTACACTGTTGACCAAAAATAATATTGTGTATTTGGGTTTGTGGACCGGCATCTTTGAGTGCAAACTGTTTATGTGACTGTTTAATGTTTATTTGTTTAGTGTATAGTGTATTGTGTATTTGTGTATTGCTATAATGCTCTATTGGGGTATACTGTGTCCCATAGAGTAATAATTACGTATCCTCAATCCACAAGAGTACATGACCACAAATAACAATAATAATATATTATGAATATGACCGACTAGGTTTCTATCAGTAAATTTTGTACTATATCCACTATTTTATCATTTTGCGAGTGCGCTTTTTAAACCATGTAGAAATCAATAATTTTAGTCTTTTTAGGTTTTTCATGATAATTATTAATTACTATCCTCCGTTCATTAAAATTTTGTTGGAACGAAAACACGCTGGCTTATTTAAGCCAGCTTGATTAATTACAATGATCGATTCTGGATACGCTAGGACTATGGACAAATCAGGTACTTAAGTTTTAATTTTGTATTTTAATCAATGGTACCTATTCGGTATATACCATTGCGTACCTATTAATTACTTTTAAATGTCATACCTAGGCCAAGAGGACGAATTTATTGGAAATGGAATGCCAGAAAAATTTGATAAAAATAATGTAAAAGGGAAAAAACGTAAAAAGTGTTTACGTGACAAAGCAGCTCCAAGACTTCCTCATTCTGGTAAATAATTAATACAAATATTTTTGTAATTATTAAAATTAGATTAATTATTTGTCTATATTTACAGGGTACATAAGATTTTTAAATGATAGACGTGAACAATTTCGTTTTGAAAATCCCAATTTACCATTTGCTGAAATAACCAAAGTATTAGCTACTGAATGGAACCAGTTGCCAGCAGATAAAAAACAAGTACAGTAAAACTCATTTAAGATGTTTTTCGATAGTCCCAAGACATTTTCTTTACTAGTTAATGTAAAAACTACCAGTTAAGACACTTGGTTTGTCTATCTAATTGGATAAGACGCTCTTTTGATCAGTATATGACGCTAAATTATGCGGTAAATTATTATAGTATTATATTATACAAGGTGATTCATTAAGCGTAAAACACTCATTATCTCAAAAATTATTAATGTTTTTGAAAATATTTTTTTACATAGTTTTAAGTTGTTAAAAAAACAACGTTTCCATTAAAAAATTATATTTTTAAATATTTTTTATCCTCATAATTTTTTAAGTTTTTTACTTTTTTGAATGACAGCATAGAGTTTTAATTTCATATTCCAAAGCAGAATATTTTTCTAAGTATTTTGATACATAAAAATCAAACTTAGGACGAGTAGTTTATGAGTTATAAGTATTTTAAGTTTAGATGGGCGGTGTAGTGGATAAACATTTTGCGGGGTAACCCCATACCACTCCACTCCGCCCATCTAAACTTAAAATACTTATAACTCATAAACTACTCGTCTTAAGTTCGATTTTTATGTATCAAAATAATTAGAAAAATATTCTGCTTTGGAATATGAAATTAAAACTCTATGCTGTCATTCAAAAAAGTAAAAAACTTAAAGAACTATAAGGATAAAAAATATTTAAAAATATAATTTTTTAATGAAAACATTGTTTTTTTAACAACTTGAAACTATTTAAAACAATATTTTCAAAAACATTAATACTTTTTGAGATAATGAGTGTTTTAAGCTAAATCAATCACCCTGTATGTGATAAAAATTGACTATTTCTCACCTAGCATATTAAAAAAAATGAAACAAATGATATATGTTTTTATATTTTATGATTTTATAATACATACCTACCTATGTTATTAGTAATTAATAAACTTGTTTTACTTAAATTAATAAATAAACTCATGGTTTTATAATTGTATAATCCATAGTTACTATAAATCGGTTTTATTGTAATAAATAAATAAACTTAATATCTTTTCTAAGTTCTAACCACCTTGGTTTTATTTTCGATTCCCGTATAAGACACTCTTTTAAGCTGGTCTCTTGAAGAGCGTCTTAAGCAAGTTTAACTGTAATTGCTTCATTATATATTATAAAAATATTTTATTGTTCAGAAAACTATTCATCAATTATCATTAGAAGGAAATTTAGTTATTCTATAGAAATATTTTATTGTTTTTAATTATTTTAGCAATATCTTTTAGCAGCTGAACAAGAACGAGTAAAATACATTGAAGAATTAGCAGCTTATAAAAAGACTGATGCTTACAGAAATTTTATTCAACGCAAATTGAAAAAAAAAAAAGTTAATACCTCTATCCAAGAAGTTAGTTGAAATATTAAATTATATTATTTTCACAAAAAGTTTATATGTTAAAATTAATATAATATTTGTAACATATTAGATTACACTATTACAGTATATAAACTATAGGTTTAATTATTTTTCCTTTTACATTTTTAAAAAAAGTATTCTTTGAATTATAGAATAATTCGATGGTGCTTGGGTAAAACTTGTCAAGTCTAAAATGTGGACAAAATTGTTTAGTCACATAACTGGTATTACTCAAACAAAAAATTAATTTTGTGAAATTATATATTTTTCATAAGTGTATAACAACTGATAAAATCAATGTATGACTTAGACCGTTTTACCCAAAACACTATATCATTCTTCTATATCTAGATATGACATAATCTCATTTTCACAAATTATAGACTGCAAATTTTTCCAGCGCACCATCGAATTATTCAAGAAGTAATTCATTAGTCGGTTACAAAACTTCTTATTTTAAATAATAAATAGTACTTAAACAATATAATTTTATAGTAACAATTTCAAAAAAGTTTATATTACATATTTCTGTTATATTGGAGCTTTGAATAGAGATAGTAGTAGGTATAGTACCATGAAAATATATATTACGAATAAGTTTGGATATTTTATAAAAATAACAAATTATCTATGTTTTTATTCTAGGTACAAGAATTAGAAAAAGAAAAACCATTTAGTAATAACAGTAATACTGTTTATGACATACCTATATACACTGAAGAATTCTTAAACTTCAATAAAGGTTAGTATTTGTTTTATTTTATTTATTTTTATTTGGGTGTTTATTATAATTTTTTGTTTATAGCTAGAGAAAGTGAACTAAGGCAGCTCCGTAAAAGAGTAACAGATCAAGAACAAGAAGTATCTGTATTATACAAACATATTGGAAACATGAATAATGGAATTATAAAATTAATGGCCAACACTAAAAAACTCAAAGCTGGATGTTTAAAATATGAACATTATTTAATTAAATTACGATCACTACTTCTAGATGCTTTTGATAACATCGCATTTCCAGGTAAATATTTCAATTTATTAATTAATGAAATAAATCTATTATATTTTACTACTAATTTAATAGTTGAAGGGTGGGCGGGAATAACGTGCTATGTAGCAATTCGTAAATGTTCAGGAACAACTAAAAACGAAAAATATATTATACGGTTTCTAAGTTTATACACAATGATTGTGTACAGTAAAAACATTCTGGGAATTTTTCGAATATGTCGTAATTGCTTCATAGCACGTTATTCCTCAAAAACATGAAAATTGAAAAAAATGTTACGTAGCGCGTTATTCCCTCCCACCCTTCAGTTATCTTATAAATTATTACACAATCAAATATGCACAATCTTTAGATCATCAAAGAATGACAAATTGCATCTAAATTCTTTTAGTTTGCCTTGTCACTTGTGCAAAATTAATAATGAATGGGAGTTGTAAAAGGATCGGCTGTCTAAAGTTCTAACTGCCCGTAGTATAACACTTCCACAGTTTTTGTATTTTTAAGTACCAAAATGTAGATCAATTTGCCACCCTTAATTACATTCTTAAGGGTATAAATGTATTTATGTGACTATACCCATTTTTTATTTAAGTAAACTTGGTATAAAACCATTATTCTTAACAATCACAGTTTTAAATTTAATTAAATAAGTACCTATTAAACTATTGAATTAGAAAAACCAATATTAATAATGGAAATTTACCCATTGTTTTGGTTGTTTGCTTCTGCGTATGATATAGTTTTGGGTTGAATATGAGAATCAGGGACTTGGATGATAGAACTTATGGGATCAGTTGTTTTAAAGCTGTCTTGAATGTATCAAGAAGGCCACCTACTTAAGGCGGCTCTTAGTGGCTATTATTTAAGGGGAACAATTTAGGCAATTTCTAATCTTGTCGTCGCCGCCCGTAATCTATGTGTTAGTCGTAAATGATTATTAGTGTGAAATTCGAAGAAATTCGAACTCGATAACAATAGATTTTATATCGCCCGGCTGTGGGCACACGGTTCAATAGCACACGTACGCGCATGCACAAGTCAACGTAATCACTCTCGAAAAATATTTTTGTACACTCACAAGAGTGAAAAATGCTAATAAGCTGGCGAAAAATACACATACTTCTAGTAGTCCAATTTCAATTTTGAAAAATTATTTGAATTCGTCAGCCTCTTTTCTATGATTTGTAGGAAACCGATTTTGGATATTTTAGATAATTTACGTATATTACGGTTCCAAATGACTGCTTGATTTCTCAAATTTAACTTGCACTTTTAAGTGCTAACTAGACAAAAAGATGAAAAAGTTTTTCCTACAGATCATAGAAAAGAGGCTAACGAATCCAAATAAGTATTCAAAATTGAAATTGGACTACTAGAAGTATGTGTATTTTTCGCCAGCTTATTGGTCTAAATGCATGAAAAATCCAATCGTTTAGAGCCGCCTTAAATGTCTTTTTTCTGAATTTTTTTATTTATTCATATTATGCAAGAACTCTTAATTTTAAAGTTAATTTTTATTTACAATCTATAGAAATGAATAATGTATGCACCTTATTTAGATCATCGAAGAATGACAAATTGCATCTAAATTCTTTTAGTTTGCCTTGTCACTTGTGCAAAATAATAATGAATGGGAGTTGTCAAAGGATCGGCTGTCTAAAGTTCTAACTGCCCGTAGTATAACACTTCCACAGTTTTTGTATTTTTAAGTACCAAAATGTAGATCAATTTGCCACCCTTAATTACATTCTTAAGGGTATAAATGTATTTATGTGACTATACCCATTTTTTATTTAAGTAAACTTGGTATAAAACCATTATTTTTAACAATCACGGTTTCAAATATAAATAAATTTATATTTCGTTGTTACTTTTAATTTTTATTATCATTCAAGAATTATATTTACGATGATGAAATTTTTTGACATTAACTTAATCCTAATCTGTATATTATGTTGACGTACATTTGGCTATTGATATATTTTATTTTTATTCAATAATTGTTTTGACATGACATATAATGTGAAAAGAATAGTAAATAATATAAGTCATCAGCAGCTTTCTTTTAAGGTGATTAATTCTACCAAATTCATTGAATTGTACCATTATTATTTTTGATACCAAGCAAAATAAGTAAAAGTATTGGTTTTATAATTATCTATTATTATCTATTTTTAATTTTGGGTGGAGATGATTTAAAAAAATATTATATAGCTCATTAAAATATTAGGTAACTACCAATTATTTTAAATTTAATATCTATAGAGACCGGATTTATATGGAAATACATAAATGTATTGAAATAAGCATTTTGAAATCTGATGAGCATTGTCCCCGATTTAGATGATTCTTATTAAAATAAAGCTAATTATGTTTTGCATATTTCAACGTTTTTCCTTTTGTTTGCATATATAATGCAAATTTGTAGTTTTATAGTTCATATTATTATTTATAACACATATATTGGTTTTTCGTCAAATTGTCACTTTAACATCCACATAATATCGATAAAATTAAGACCGGTCAGATAAGATGAAATAATCATATGCAACATATATAATATATATAGTATATTACATTATATAGATACATTTGTTTGCATTAAACAACTTCTGATCATCCAGTGCAATAAGGTAAAATATGAATTCTATCTTAGTTTTCACTTTTTATTAATGTGGGATATTATTTTATGGATTGAAGATAAAGATCTTTAAATAGCAAAGAACTTATTGAAGATGACAAAATACTTTTAAAACCTTTCTATACCTTTATTAATACGTATTTTTTACATAATATTAAATAAAATATTTTTGATTCAATTTTAATAAGTACATATTTTGTAGTATATTACAGCATTTTTAGAAGCATATTTTGAGGATTTTTTGTACACATAAATCTGGTCCCTAAATATCAAAATAAACATCTATACTGCATTTGGCATTTGGAATAGTTAAATGCTGAAAGTAACTAATAAAAGGTATCAAGAAGGACACCTACTTAAATGTCTCTTTTCTGAATTTTTTTATTTATTCATATTATGCAGGAACTCTTAATTTTAAAGTTAATTTTTATTTACAATCTATAGAAATGAATAATGTATGCACCTTATTTAGATCATCGAAGAATGACAAATTGCATCTAAATTCTTTTAGTTTGCCTTGTCACTTGTGCAAAATTAATAATGAATGGGAGTTGTCAAAGGATCGGCTGTCTAAAGTTCTAACTGCCCGTAGTATAACACTTCCACAGTTTTTGTATTTTTAAGTACCAAAATGTAGATCAATTTGCCACCCTTAATTACAGTCTTAAAGGTATACATGTATTTATGTGACTATACCCATTTTTTATTTAAGTAAACTTGGTATAAAACCATTATTCTTAACAATCACAGTTTTAAATTTAATTAAATAAGTACCTATTAAACTATTGAATTAGAAAAACCAATATTAATAATGGAAATTTACCCATTGTTTTGGTTGTTTGCTTCTGCGTATGATATAGTTTTGGGTTGAATATGAGAATCAGGGACTTGGATGATAGAACTTATGGGATCAGTTGTTTTAAAGCTGTCTTGAATGTGCTGGACATCCTTTGAAGTTGGAAGTGTGGTTCTTAATGCAGAGAGTACGTTTAGCTGGACTTAGGTCTTATCCGTATGGTGATTTTCACTACACTTGAATTATCAAGATTTGTGATAACAATGGTTGTAGCATGTATGTGTTACTGCACGATTGAAAATTATAACATTGTGGTAGACCAGGTATCTTTTTATGTGGTGTCTCAGTTACCACTTTACTGTTGAGTTCCGATTAGATGTTATGGTGAATATACTTATTATTATCTTATGGGAAAACATCCACAAAGAATTTATAGTGGAAGGAAGTATTTTATTTTTATTTTAGCATAATATTTAAGTATTTAACTAATAATCTAGTTGAGCCTGTCAGTGTTTTATGATTGGTTTTTAAATAATGTAAGTTTCTTATGACAATTATGTGTGTGCGAAGATGACAAGGAGGTGGTAAATTAATAGTAACTATCTTTAGTTTAGTTTAAAATAGCCAAAATTGTATTATAATCTAGGTGATCTCTAGGATGTAGATATGGAATGAGATATGATGGCGAAGACTTACAGGAATAACTATCCGAGCTGGTGATCTTAGTTAGAACGGTGTTTATGCAGAGGAGTTTGATATATTTTTTTTGTCGATAGGTGGACCCAGAAGATCATCTATTAGGCTGATTAAGAACTTGGCTGGGCATTGGGCAAGTATAGCAAAATTGATGGGAGAAATGAAAACTTATTTTTTTTTTTAATTTTGACTGGGTGATGTTGACAGATATTGTTTGTGGTCCTAAGAGTATGTGGTGAAACTAGGCCAGTTTTTCACAGCTTCACAGAATAATAATATAACAACTTCTTATACTACATGTTTCTGCACGTTTTTTGCACATCATAACCAGCATTAAGTTATTTTTATTTTAAAATATAATGTACAATAAAATACATTTACTTAATAAAAATTTTTTTACATTTATCTTATAATAAAGTACAGATATAAAATTGTATTTCGTAATTACTCTTGATTTTTTATTATCATTCTAGAATTTTGTTTACGATGATGCAATTTTTTTACATTTACAAATAAATCATAATGTGTATATTATGTTGACGTTGTTCATATGGCTATTGATATATTTTATTTTTATTCAATAATTGTTTTGCTACATAATAAAGTAAAAAGAATAGTAAATAATATAAGTAATCAGCAGTTTTCTTTTAAGGTGATTAATTCTAAAAAAATTGAGCATATGTATTTTAAATTTTTTTCAACTGATATTGTAACAATAAATCAGGAGCCTTGTATTACATTTTTACACTTTTTGGCCCAACAGATAAAAAACTATTGATACATATCAATAGAAAAAAAAACTAAAAAAATTGAAAACTGAAAATGTCCGTAAACAGCTCAAAAAAAGTCAAAATATTTTCAAAATTGTATGGTGTATAGGAAATGCAAATATAAACAACCAGTGAAAATTTCATGTATCTACGGTCATTTGTTTTAAAGTTACACCAAAAACCAAATTCAATTTTCTGAAAAATCGATTTTGCGTAAAAATTCCCGTTTTTCCTTAATTTTTCTTTTGTTTTTCTTGGCGCTTTTGAAAAGTACTGGGAATTTTAAATTTTGACCTCCCCAATGCACCAACGATATTCACTTTCCAATCGAACAAGATACTGAAGTGGAAAATCGAAGCATTATTTCGACTACTTATCGTGTACACAGACACAAAACTATGGGGGTACTTTGGGGGGTCAAAAGTATAAATTTCCCAGTAGTTTTCACAAGCGCCGGGAAAAACAACATAAAAATTAAGGAAAAACGGGAATTTTTACGCAAAATTGGTTTTCCAAAAAATCGATTTTGGTTTTTGGTGTAACTCTAAAACAAATGAACATATATACATGAAATTTTCACTGGTTGTTTATATTTGCATTTTCTATACACGATAACATTTTCAAAATATTTTGATTTATTTTGAACTGTTTAGGGACATTTTCATTTTCCATTTTTTTTTAGTTTTTTTTCTAAAAATATCAATAAAATTTTATTTGTTGGTTGCGAAAGCTTGAAAATTTAATAGAAGGCTCCTAATATATTGTTTCAAAGGCAGATGAAAAATATTAAAAATCCTTAGTCACAATTTTTTTTTATAATCATTTTAAGTTCAAAAATTGACAAAATATGGAAAAATCACGAAAATTAGCAAATTATTTTGAGTTAAGAATTCGTAAAAATTTTTCTTTTTAAATCAAAGATTTGAAAATTAAACACAAGATTCCTTATAAGATTATCTACCTTTATCAATAAAAAAATCTCTACCGGACAGTCAAGTTAAATTTTTATGAGCGTTTGAAATTCAAATTTTTACAACATTGGATGTTCACTCGATTTCTCATGGAACGATTTTCTTATTTTGTTCTAATTCAAAACCGAATATTTATAGATACATTAAAATTTCACTGAATGTTCAGATTAGCGATTTTGAAAATATTTTGACTCTTTTTGAGCTGTTTATGAACATTTACAGCTTTCAATTTTTTTTAGTTTTTTTTTTCTATAAATATCAATAAAATTTTTATCTGTTTCGCCAAAAAGTGTAAAAATTTAATACAAGGCTCCTGATATATTGTTACAATAGCAGTTTAAAAATATTAAAAATACATAGGCACAGTTTTTTTTTATAAGCATTTAAAGATCAAATTTTGACAAAATTTATCAAAATCTCGAAAATTATCAATCATTGTAATTAATAAATTATAAAATGTTCAGTTTTTATAGCTAAGGATTACAAATTCAACACAAAGGTTCTCATAAATAGATCATACTGTAACCAAAAAATCTAAAAAATATATGAACACAGTTATTTTTTACAGACATTTTAAATTCAAATTTGGACGAAATTACATATTAAAAAACCTTGAATAACTATTTTAGTTATTTTGTTGTGATTGAATAATATTATTCGTGGGTACTTGAAACTTCTAAAGTGTACTATTATATATCTATGATAGTATCACTGTTTTTGTTGATGTATAACGCGTTATAAGTACCTAATGGATATTGTGATATGATTAATTTGGAATTTATTATAGGTACCAATTATAGGTCAATTTTTTGTTTAATACCATAGATATGTATATAATATGTCTTATACATAGACTGACATACCGTCTCCGCTCAGAATCGTTTTTCTTATACAATGATATTATATCGTTGAATTCAAATTTAATATCATCCATTATACAGTGACCCACTTGTAACCTACTGTACAGCAGAGCGACACCCACTTGCCCACCTTTTTTTTATTTATTCATATTATGCGGGAACGAATGAATACACTGCACTTTATTTAGATCATCGAAGAATGACAAATTGCATCTAAATTCTTTTAGTTTGCCTTGTCACTTGTGCAAAATTAATAATAAATGGGAGTTGTCAAAGGATCGGCTGTCTAAAGTTCTAACTGCCCGTAGTATAACACTTCCACAGTTTTTGTATTTTTAAGTACCAAAATGTAGAACAATTTGCTACCCTTAATTACAGTCTTAATGGTATACATGTATTTATGTGACTATAGCCATTTTTTATTTAAGTAAACTTGGTATACAACCATTATTTTTAACAATCACGGTTTCAAATATAAATAAATTTATATTTTGTTGTTAAATAATTAATTTAAAATATGGGGAACAGAGTGGGCGAGCGGACTAAGGCGTCGGTTGCGACGCACACCGTTGCTGGTTCAAAAACCTAGCTTCGGGCAATCACGGTGTCAGTGATCCACTACCCAGGCATGGCAGATACGAGTGCCCACTAGAAAATTCTGCCGAACTAACAAACACACTTGTTTAAACCTACAGTAACCTCCCCCACAGTTAAAAAACACCCAATGGCCTGAGTTGCTGCTGGTTAATTAATAAAAAAAATAATACTAATAATAATTAATGTATATTAAACTATTGAATTAGAAAAACAAATATTAATAATAGAAATATACCCATAATATAGTAGTTAGGACATTTTACGCTGACAATAACACATTTCACTCTGTAATTTCTATTATTAGAATGATTACCTCTTATAAAATTTAAAGGTAAGATTATTATCTAGGGAATTTCTGAGGCTTTTATTTATATTTTGATTGTAGGCTATGCACCTTATTTAGATCTAAAAATTTCATCCAATTTTATTTAGTTTGCCTGTCTATTGACTATTTGACTAAATTAAAAATAATAAATTAGGAGTTGTCAATGGATCGGCTGTCTTAAGTTTCTAACTGCCCGTAGTATAATACTCCCACAGTGAAAAAATCTAATAATATGTATATTATATAGTAATAAGCATAAAAACATTTTACCATCTTAGTGCTAGTATTTTTGTATATAAAATAATGTTGAGGTAGCCAAATAATATTTTATCTATAATCTTGTTTATTATTATATTTTTCTTTTTTTAGATAACATTGAGCCACCTACCAATGACACTATTGACACATATATAGTTAATTTAGCAACTCATCTAACAACGGGCACTGGTACTGATCCTTCCTGGATTGAAAATGTAAAGAAAGTTATTTCTAATTTAGACTTTTCACAGTGTTAAAATATATTATATTTTTATTTATCAAACTATAAATAATTAATTATCCAATCATGTTGATTTTTAATATTATTTTATGTAAAATGCCTTATTGATACCATTATTATAATATTTTAAATATATTTTTTTTATTAATCTCAAACAAATTGTAATCCTTTGAATCATGACAATTGGGATATTAATTCCTTGTGATAAACCATAAACCCTTTATTTATATGAAATGTAATGTATCTTAAAGTATCTATAATTAAGTACCATTAATATGAGATTTATTAAATGTACTAACATCACATGCATTCAGTGAAATTTTTTATTCCTATTTTCTTGACGTAGCTTTCCTTCAATTAGTTTGTTTATCCTTTCTATTTGCTTCATATCAAACCCCTGAAAAGTACAAATAAATATTCATTTTATCTATTTACATTAAAAGAAAATTATTATACAACTTCAATTTTTAAATTTTTAAGTCCTTCTTTAATTACACAAACTTTTTGCTGATACTGAATTATTTGTTCTATAACATTTAAAATGTTTGAGCTAAACTGGTTATCTATTAAATAAAATATTTATAATTATTTTAGGATTTTGATTACATCTTTCATATGAAATACATGAAATATTTAAATATGCAATTTTAAAATTTCCTGGACTATGATAACTCAAACCACTCTTTAATAATTGTCCTGTTAAATATGGGTGCGTGTGTGGGACAATCATACTTTCAGCCCTTTGTTTCAAATTAGCCGCTAAAATTAATAAAAATGTGTTACTTAATATTTTGTTTTTAGTACTAGTGAACTATAGTATATATTATTTACTATAGATCTAAAGATTTCCTAAATGTGGACAGTTAATAGTAATGAATTTTATAGTTTAAACTTCATGTTATCAATTGCCATTCAATCTCTAATTTGTCTCAAAGTAGAATATACCAGTTCTGCACACTTTTTCCTCTTCTTACGGTCACTATCTATGCCAATATGTGGGAAATGTGTGCCTCGGACGGAAACAGCCCGGTATATTCTAGTTTGAGACAAGACTATAGTAAAAATTAGTTCTATTCATAATAAGATTTTCGAGGAAGGAAATTAATTGGTTCAAAATCAAGCTTTTTACCAGCAATGAAAATCGAACTAAAATCTTGATAATTATCAAACTTTTCAATTTGGAAAACTAGATAAGTATTTTTAGAATCGAACAACATATTTATTACAGATTCTGAGCAAAGCAATAAATTTATTAAATTTGATGTATTTTTTTTTGTGTATTGCCTTTTGGGGCGCTAAAAATACTTCATTTAAAAAAATTTATTCAAACATGACATTTTTACCAAATATTTATTTAATCATTATAATTATAAAATTTTCAATTGCTTTTAGGTTTTATTCTAAAAATGTAAACAAATAATTATTCACTGGGTCAAAAAGCTTGGAAATTAAACTCGGAAGTAGTTCATAATATTGAAACCAATAAATCTAAAAACTATAAAAGCACAATTTTTGTATTGACATTTTAAGTTCAAATATGGACGAAATTAAATATTTAAAAAGCGGGTAAGTGGAGTCGCTCTGCTGTACAGTAGGTTACAAGTGGGTCAATGTATAATGGATTGTATTAAACTTGAACTCAATAATATAATAACTATCATTATATAAGAAAAACGATTCTGAGCAGAGACGGTTTGTCGGTCTAGATATCTTATTTAGACCTTATAGTTATTATTTATAATAGCATGTAAGTTGAATTAATATTATTATTTTTTATTCGTTTCTAGGTGATACACATAGCTTTAGAAATTAAAATCCCGCTTCTGATATCTATAAAGTACCATCTTGATCCAATTTGCTAAAAGATAAGATACCATAATATGTTGAAATCTAAGTACTCCTGGAAGAAATGTTGTACATGTTTTTGTTATGTTTTACATTTGTAAGACCGGGAGACAACACGTGCTGGCTTAGCGTCCTCTTAACACATGTGACCCACAGCTCTATTAGTTTAAGTATGATAACTTTTTAAATATTTTTATTAAAAGGGCTACCATTGGGGAGAACTGGAGAAGCAATAAATAATTAATATAAGTATTAAGTATACTAGGTTATTTTCACCATAATTATTACTTATTGTACACCCCTGTATAGATCGTAATATTTAAAAATAAAGTCATATTTAAAAAAAAAAAAAAAGTATACTAGGTGATTCAAAATTAAAGTGATAAAATTAGAAATATTTTCTTACCTTCAATTGATGATAACACAGCATTGTTATTACTATCATTTGATGAAATAGTTTTTTCTTTTAACTTTTGAGATAGAATATCAGTCTAAAACAAATTACAAAACAAGTTTTGAATAATTTAAACTTGAAAATCTAATCTTGGTATTCGTTTAGTATGTACCAAGACAATTATCTATATTATGTACGATTACCAATCTATTTACAGGCAAAATGCATTTTTTAAGTGATATCTATACAAAAAGTGTAGGTATTGCTAAACATTCTTTTAAAATAAAATAAATATTTTATATAATAAAATAATGTTATGATTTTAGCTTTGACTAAAAATATTAAACGAATACACAATACATACGCGGTAGGTATGTCACATACTAAACGAATACTTCTTACTATTTTATGGAATTTATATATTTTTTAATTCTGAGAGTAGCGATGAGTGTATTGTATTTTAAATGATGTGTGTGTTATTGTTTCCGCCATCAGCACTTTTTCTGATAGAAAATTTAATGAATCTAGTTGTTGCACTCGGGCGGTCAAAATTTAAAATTCCCAGTAGTTTTCGAGAAAAAAAAATGTAGGAGAAAAGGAAATTCTACGAAAAACAAATTTATGAAAAATCGATTTAAATTTTTTTGGTGGAACTCAAAAACTAATAACTATAGATACTTGAAATTTTCACCAAATATTTATAATAATATTTAATTTTTGAGCTATTTATAGCCTTGAGAAATTTTATGAATTTTTTTAAATTCTTATCAATAAAAACTTTTTCACCTAATAAAAAAGCTTGAACTTGTAGTTTGAATATTTGATGCAAGATTCCTTATAAATTTATTTTAAAACAGTTCAAAAATATTAAAGACTAGCTGATCCTGCAAACTTTATTGCCCTTAAAAAATTACAACTCTTAAATTGTTATTGATCAATTTCTTATGGGTGTAAGTGTGTAACTCGCTGTAAGTGCAACTCAGCCACTCCCAGGATGGAATCATATGGAATAATATAATATTATTAATTCATAACTCATATCTATTTTCATAATATTATACACTTTCTTATTTTTATACCCCCACCTCCCCACAATCACAAAAAAATTAAAAATTCGCCACTGTCATAATGTAATTTGTATTTTAATATGCACTGTATAATAGACTAGCTGATCCTGTGCACTTCGTTGCCCGTTAAATGTACCTACTCTTTATGACTCTAACTTTGTTCAATTTAATATTCGGTGTATGGTGTTCAAAATTTATCTTAATTTTTCTATTGCCTGGAATAAAAATTCTGATTCGCAGCAGTATATTATCAGATAGGCGATCTACTTGCGGTAGATCGTGGACCCTGCAGTGCTGTTTGTAGTAATAGTGTATGATTTAACTCTAAAGTATCAAAGTTACCTATACACTAATACCAAGTTTATTTTGATATAATATACGGTGAATTAATAAAATCAATTACCTAATACATAATCCTAACCTAACCTAACCGTACTAAAATCCGATGAATAAAAGAAACCAAATTTAACCCTTTTTAAATTAGCCTATCTTCTTCTAAGATATCTGCACACAAATATTAATTTATATATAATATAGTTGATCCTGTGCACTTCGTGGCCCGTAAACGATGACAACTTTAAAAAAATTGTTATTGGTCAACTCCTTTTTGGTGTAATTCACTGCAATAAGTGTAACTCTGGTAGGCAATGTGCGAAAATTCGATTTGATGCATGCTTGTATCGGATCTGCCCGATTAACCAATAGCAACCAATAATAAATAAATACTATTTCTATAAATTATTTCTCCTATAACCAATAGAAACCATTTATAAACTAATATTTCCATCTTAACTCTCAAAATTCCTGTCTGAGCACTTCTATTAATTGGTCGTAGCGTGATATTATATAGCCTATAACCTTCCTCGATGAATGGACTATCCAACAAAAAAGTAATTTTTCAATTCAAACCAGTAGTTCCTGAGATTAGCGCTTTCAAACAAACAAACTCTACAGCTTTATATATTAGTACCTATAGATTATAGTGCATACTCGGATACTGCATTGATTAAATAGGTATGTGTAGCAACCTATATTTATTTTAAGTTCCAAAGGAAAATTAAGTAACTCAATGTAACTTACTTACTCTTATAAATATTTTCATTAACATACAATGAATAATATAAATTAACATACCTTGATTTATGGCAAAATTGGTCAAGTAGAAGTAGATAAATTTGGTTCTTATTTAGTTATGGTTCTCAAAAATATGTTTTTAAATGAAAGTTTTTTCGGGGAATTTCCAATGTATAAACTATTAAAACTTACCAAATATTCTAAGAGCCTATTGCTCTGTTGTTCTTGCTTAGATTTCCAATTGATTTCATAATCATTGAGTTGAAATGTTGATAAAACACTAACTAAAGCAAATGCCCCTTCATCCTTAATCAAATTTCTTGCCAATGAAAGTGATTTTAATGTTCTATTAGTTCTTAAAACCTAAGGGATATTGTTTCTTATTATAAGTATGCTGATAATATATCAATCATTATTTGTAATTTAAATCTATCGAATATCCATGTCCTACATATTTTATAATTGGTATATTATATAGGTAAAACCTACCTAAAATAATAGATAAAAATATATATAATTGCAATCCACCTGTGCTATTTGTTTTGCTCCTTTGCACGTTATACTATTGCAATCTAAGTACAATGAATTCAATTGTGTATTTCTTCTTGTCTCATCCAAAATATCCAAAAGATTGTTAACTCCTTTATCTTTAAGTTGGCAAAATCTCAGCCATAATTTTTTCACTCTTAAATATAATTTAAGTAATTTAATTATGATAACAATGTATACAAAAAATAAAAATATTAAATAAATATTGTACATATTTGATATAATTAAAGGTATAGGTACTTGGTATCTGGTGTTAAGCAACATAAATAATTTAAATTTGATAGATTAATTCTGTCAAGTACTAGTTCATTAACAAGACATTCCTCCATTTTTAAATACTTGCTTAAATTGTTCAATACTTCTTGGTTAACATTGAAGTTAGTTAAGCTATTTAAATGTATAATATATTCATAATTAGTTTTAGTTTTATACTACTTTTACTTGTAGGTACATATGTTTGGGATAATTCCATACATTATACAACATATTTATGTTCTATCAGTGGCATACACAGCTATTTTCAATGGGGGGGGCTTACATATAAAAAAATTATATAGGTACATATTACATGTATATATATAATACATTGATGAATCAAAACGATGTACCTATAGTAATTATTTTGTAAATAATGAGTAATCGGCTCATTAGCAATGACTTAAGGTGAAATTAAAAATATTTTTACAATTCTCGATTATTACCTATTTAAAAAATATATACCTATAATTGGCTATTACCTACAGGTAATTATTTAGTATTACTACAAAGTTACACGCGTACATACAATATGTATATAATAATATATTATATATAATTCAATAAAAGATAGGTATAAAGAGAAATTTATTTTTACCATATTAATCATTTTTTTGTACCTAGGTCGATAATATAATGTATTAAATATTTACCTGGTTCCTCCGAGTTAATTGTATCATAAATTAGCGAGTTAGAAAAATATTCGTTTATTCTTTTCATTTTTATTGTTTTATAAAATATTTAAACAGTAAGTACAATTTACTAAACGTCCAAAGCGTCAAGAATTTGATTGAAAACTGAGAAATAGATTCTATACTATAGTATTAGCGATACTGCGATAGCTATTAAGGCATATTATATCGGATTACACGATTGTCGACCCTCATGTTTGTGTTTGAACAAATTTCCCAATAATTTCATTAATTTGTAACAAGTTATCAATAATATCTACAATATATTATAACAACAAACTGGGTTGCTTATAAGTTATAAGATAATGGAGTATAATTTGGAATATGATATTTTTTTAAATTGTCATCATTTTTATTATACATTTTTACGTTATTACGTAAACTGAAAAAATACTAAAGGGGGGGGTTTGAACACCCAAACCCCCCCCGTGTGTACGCCACTGTGTTCTATACTTCTATGAAAATGTAAAGGTAGGACTACCGAATAGAATATATAATGGTAGGACCTTGGTTAGATTATATCTAGATGTGATTCAAGGGGGAGCGGACAATTTTTTTAATTATGATTTATGACACAGCAAATATTTTAAGTACAAAGATGTGGAAAAAAACTTTAAAATCTATATTACTCTAAATTATTAATTTTTTTTTCTGGAACGTCCAAAAGGAAATGGTGATTGCCCCATCCCTTGCTACTTCCCACCACCCATCTTTAACTGGCATTGGATGTAGCCACGTAGGTACAAAAATGTGATTTAACAAAAAATCAAAAAAAATCGCATGATTTCTACAATATGTCTTCAATACCTACTGGCTACTACCTAGGTCCTGGGTAAATTGTGGGTAAACTTGTATTAATTGTGAAATATAAATATTAATAATTACTTATACACTTTATTCATATGACAACTACAAAAAATTACATAATATATATTTTAAACGGTGCTCCTCTAATATAAAAATTGTAATAATATTATGGTTCCTGCTCTATATTTAAGAATTAAAATATTAATAAAATGTAGTTACTAGATATTTTATCAGTTGTAAGCATTGATGAAAGTGATATAGATATTGAACATTCTGTCATTTTATGATATTATTATAGATGGCTTTGTAGAGAATAAAATCAAGGAATGTAGGTATAGGTATCCAATGTGTAAATTTTGATAAAATATATTTATATTCGTTTTTTTTTTATTGTTTGATTATTTTATATAATTATACGAATTATATTTATAGATGATACATTACTGTATGAATTAATACTATTCGGGAATATAAATAATTATTTAAAATAATGAACCACCCAGGTCCCACGGTCCCCAAAATCTTCTTTGCCCTGGATCCCTTAAAGTTTGAATATAGAGCCGGGAACCAGGTACACTTTTAGTTACTAAATGTCTAAATGGTACTTACACAGCTAAACATTACACATAACACTGTACACTTTAGACAATGCCTGGTTCTATTATAGGTATACCATACAACTTTTTGAGCACATTTTCTACTTGGAAAAAGATAATAAAAACTAAAAAGGTTTGTATATAATGTAGATTACATATAATAAGTACCTACCTAATAGGCAATAGCTAATACCTACATAAATGACAATTCTATAATGCAGTTTGTATTGCAATTTGCAGTAGGTACCTATATAATTTAGATTGGTACAATGGTATCTACTTCCTATATATTAATACAGTCAACTCGCTATACATCTAACGAATTTCAATGAATCGGGGAAAAAAGTTCGATATATCGAAAGTTCGTTATATCAAGAGCATAAACCAACAAAATTCGTTAAGACGAATTTATCAATATTTAAATCAACAGACTAGAGACCTACATATTAATATTCATTTAGGTAATATGTACTCTTGACATTATTACCATTTCAATAAAACTCGGTATTTCAAATTTTTTTCTGTTTCCTCTGAGTTTCGACTTAAAGAGAGTTTACTGTATTTACATACCTATAGTAAGATATCATTATTACATAATGTGAAAAAAATACATGTGTAAATGTGTCATTATGCATTTATACCTATAACTTATATATATGTAGGACGTAGGTACTGTAATACTGTATAATACAATTATTTCATACGGCGGATATACACGTGGACCTATTTGTTTTATTAAAAATTGGTTTTTTTTTTTTTTACTCAACTCAAGCACATTATTACATAATAATTGTTACTTACTCGTTAGAAAAACTTCGTAACAGCAAAATATTTATTTTTGTATATTTTCGTAGTGTCATTACTAGCATAGAGCGAGAAATTTCATGCATTTGCATATTTTTTCTGGTTAACTTTATTGTATAAAGTATCGTATCGTATAATTATGAGTAGGACGAGTAGGTACTTACATTACACAATTTTTATGATCCAATGCTCAAAGATTTTATTACATATTTTTGCATATTTTGATATTTATGGGTTTAAAAGACATATTTTTGATTATAAGAGCATATTTTAAGTTTTTAGTGCATAATTTGATAGTTTATCCGTAAATATTTTTCATGAATCATGGTCAACAATTATTATATTACAATTTACATTTGAATGAAAAATGAGATCAATAAATATTGTAATGTATTATAATGATTGATTGACTTTATACGTTTTATTTTTTAAGTAGGTATTAATAATATTACCTGAGTTTTGTAATATTTTTTGATGTTTCGTTTTCATACCAATGCACATCGGTAATCCGCATTTTGCTATCAATTTTCTTTTCTAATTTTCATTAAATAATAATAGGTGTATTATTAGTTTAAGCTGTTTAAAATTAAAATTTTTTTAATAAGTACCTAGGTATCTAAATATTATAGTTAATATGTAACTCGTATAGGTAAGTGTGCTTATGTTGCCTACCTATAGACCTACGAGAAGTTAGTAACTGTTAAACAATTTATAAATTAGCACTAGTCATATACTTAACTAATAATATAGTGTAGCTAAGTCATAAACATATAAATACATTTATAATTTATTTATATGTCTTTGAGTTAAGTAGTCTATAACTATTGCCTTTTGGAATAATTGGACCATCACTGGTTAAAGGTTTCTATACGATTTTGATATTTTAATGAATTCAAGTAATTCAACCTATCCAATCGGCAATCATAAAAAATCTAAATACACGTAGTTATAACCATAGGCGCCAGGTTTCAAAAAACTTAATGGGTGCCTTGGTACCATTGGTATCATACTAACATAGGCATAAATACATAATTTTGGGGGGAGGGGGCTTAGCCACTGGTCAAGACAAATTTCCCCGTAAAATTTGGAATTGTCTTTTCAGGTGGGGCTAGTTGCAATTTAACCCCCTAAAATTTTAATTTTGGCTCTCCAAATTTCGCCTATAGGTGTCATGATTCTACTACTTCACCAAAAACGTTTGCATTTTCTTATGGATTTTTTTGGTGTATACAAATATTAAATTATAATATATACCATGTTGTACACTGAAATATGCGATCATCATTGATTATAAAATATATATTAATTATACAACAAAATAAATGTATACCAAATTGGGAACTTATTTATAAATAATAATAATAAGTAAAACAAAAAATAAAATAAATTTAATTTGACTGTTCAGAAAATAAATATGCTTTGACGTACCTACTTATTATTATAATTGAATTTATAAATGAGTTAGCTCTTAGCTATCAATGTCTATATCTTCATTACGACGGACAAACAATAAAGCAAATATCTTTAAGACGATTTTGTTTCATTGTAGACCTTAAAAATGTTTTTAATCTTCGAAGTGCTGAAAAAGATCACAGCTAGAATTGTATTTCAATAGTCGTTTGCTAAAATTGTCAAAACTTGGATATAAATACACTCTATACATTTTCAATATTCTAATGGGTGCCCGGCACCCCATAATAATTTTAATGGGTGCTTGAGCCCCCGGGCACCCATGTACCTGGCGTCTATGGTTATAACGTTATATTGTTATTAACAACTTTACTGCGTTAAATAATTTTTCACTTGGTACGCAGTTTATACATTTTTGGATTCATCTCCTCTACTTAATAATTCCCGATTCCAGCACTGATTGTTATCATAGTTTATAAACAATTTACTAAATGTATACATTATTATAAATTAACATACATATTGTTAGCCATTTAATCTAACATTAATTGTCCTATATATTATAATTACTTCGTACATGTCACATGTGTGATCTGTAACAAGATTAAGCTTAACTTATTATTTTTAAATTAGCTGAAATAAACTCGCCTAAAGAAGTTTTCACTTCAAAAAGCCAAGTTGTTAGAATATGAATTGTATTCATATTCATTGTCTAAACTCTAAAAAATGTTTTGAAAATGTTATTGTGTGTAATAAATTATAGCT